TCACATGATCAGCTAGTTCTTAAAATCCGATTACGCATCGATCAAAACCGACCAAACGACAGTCCGAATGACCTGAAATTTTACACACATATCCAAAATCAGCTAACGGAGCTACAGCAACTCTCGGAATTCCATTCCGACCCTCGGATCAAAATCTCACCTATCAACCGGAATTCGCCAAAATACTAACTTCGCCAATTCAAGCCTAATTCTACACCGGACCTCCAAAATCAATTCCGATCGCACTCCTAAGTCACAAATCATTTCCCGAAGCTAACCGAATCACCGGAAATCACATCCGAGCCTTCTAACTCCTAAGTCAACGTCCGATTGACTTTTCCAACTTAGGCCTTCCTTAAAGAGACTAAGTGTCTCATTTCTTATCAAAACCAATCTAAATCAACTCTAACACACCACATACCGATAACGAAACATAAAGAAGCATAAAATGGGAGAAACGAAGCAGTAACACATGAGACAACGGGTCGGGTCGTCACAGAACCACTAACAGTGCAGGGCCAATAGCACCACACATTCGTGAGCCTAGTTCCATTCTGTTAGATAGTTATGTGTAAATATGTATAGATTATATGCAGTAGGAGTAATAATATATGTAGTAGGAGTAAAATATGTATTATATATAGGTTTCACTGTCTTATTATTAATAAAAAGATTTTTCTCCCGTGAATTCTTACTTGGTATTAGAGCTTCAGTGAGAAAATTATCATTGTGCATCATTCCAGCGACATCCGGAAAGAAAGATCTCGCTACCGTACAAATTTTCGGCAACTTTGTCTTGTTCCCAAGGTTTATCATTGCCACAATGTTATTGTGCATATACCAGTACGATCATTATATTTGAAACTCTTGTGCTACCAAACCCCAAAAATTCCAGTCTCATCGGATCAGAAAAGTCAGCCACAATGCGTCTTTCCCGTTGATGACTCAATATTGATTTGCGTTATTTCCTCATTGGTAAATGTTGTGCGAACACCAACACTACCATATTGTTCGAAAAAGTCAGGTGACAAAATTTCAGTCAATCGCTCCAGCAGAAAGTCCTACACGTGCCTCCATGCGCCACCAAAACTAGTGTTTTGACGAACTACAGTAACTTTTCCGGCGTGCGTGAACCATTTCGGCCACTTTTTGACAAAAAATTTTCAGGACAACTTACTCATCCAGTGATTATGAGTCTACCCATATAAATTACATCAAATTCTAAAAACTTTTATTTTTTCTAACGTGAACAGTAATTTCCAAAAATGTTTCTATTGTCCGGCATAATTATAGAACCTATTTTGTAGTGTGTAATTCGGCTATATCTCACTATTTTCAAATTTTTTTGGTGACTTGTCGGTCAAATTATGTTTTTCAGTAATCACCTAGTTTTGTTTCTTAGAGGGAGTCTAGTGGACTTGTATGTTGCTTGCACCGGTCATTTTATGGTGTAGAGCAGTCTCCTTTAGTGTGGTAAGTTCAGCACAATTATCCAGGAGTTTGGCATGACTCGTAGTGAAGTCGAACGATTAGCTTGCAGATATTTTCACCAAGTCTCTCACAGGTCCTGGTATTAGTTACATATGTAACAAGCTCGGTATATATGATTTGTATGCACCGGCTTGAGGGGAAATGTTAGATAGTTATTTGTAAATAATCTAGTCTCATATGTAGTAGGAGTAACATATATATATATATATATATATATATATATATATATATATATATGGGGTTCATTCTCGTGCATTCTCATACCACAAAGGACCCATGCACCTCCCATATGGCTCAAGGATTATGTTTCCACCGGTTCTTCTGGGACAAGAAAATATCCTTATATCATCTCATGTTACTTACCAACACCTATGTCCAGTCCTCGTATTAGTTACATATGTAACAAACTCGGTATATATGATTTGTATGCACTGTCTTGAGGGAGAATGTTAGATAGTTATATGTAAATAATCTAGTCTCATATATAGTAGGAGTAATATATATATATATATATATATATATATATATATATATATATATATATATATATTCCCGTGCATTCTCATACCACAAAGGACTCATGCACCTCCCATATGGCTCAAGGATTAGGTTACTTCCATCGGTTTTTATGGGACAAGCAAATATCCTATATCATCTCATGTTACTTACCAACACCTATGTCCAGGTGGCTCGAAATGGCTTTTCAGTAGTTTTGCCTTTTTTCTTGGATTTTGGTTTGGTCTTGTTAAGGCCTAATCTTTCCCAATGACGCAGATGGTGTTCATCATATTCTCCATTTGGGTCTTCTAAAGAGTCTTGGCAGTTGCAACCAAGATCCCAAGAGCAATGTCCCGTAAAGGGGCATTTGAACCACCACACTATTTTTCCTTCTTTGTTAAAATATTGACACCAATCATGTTCCTCCATGATGCTTTGTATATTCTAGAAGAATTCTCCGCCAGGTTCAAGGTATGTATCTGTTGTATCTTTGGGTTGAATCATTTGGCAAAAGAAGATGGTTTTATTGTATTTTTTGAGATGGAAATGGTCAAATCTTATGCAAACCGTTTTGTCATTTCTTTTGGTAAAAGTTGGTTCACCAGATTGTAGAGATTGCTCTGATTCCCTTAGCTTTTTGTAATTTGTGATCCAGTTTTAACTGAGCCCAAGACTTTCAAGGAAGCTTCTAAGCATCAGTAATGGATAGAAGCAATGAAGCAATGAAGCAAGAGATCAAGGCTTCAAAATGAATATACAAGATCAAATATAAAGCTAATTGTGAAGTAGACATGTTTAAGGCAAAGCTTGTTGCAAAAAGCTATTCTTAGCAGGAAGGATTGGACTACCATAAAAAAAATTCCCAATGACAAAAATGGTCATTGTGCGCCCTATTATTAGTGCGGAAGCCTCTAAAGGTTGACATCTATTTCAAGTGGATATCAACAATGCTTTCCTCCTGGGAGACTTGGAAGAGGAGGTGTACATGGACTTACCACAGGGATTCCTAAGGTAGTGGGAGTACAAGGTATGCAGGCTCTTGAAATCCCTCTATGGCTTGAAACAGTTGTCAAGATAGTAGAACATTAAACTTACCACTGCTATGTTAGAACCTGGTTATGCACAGAGTGTACATGATTATTCTCTTTTTACTAAGAGACATGCAAAGGACATTGTGACCGTCCTTATCTCTGTGGATGACCTTTTAATAACTGGAAGCTCTAAGTTATTGATAGATGAAGCCAATGGTACCTTACATAGTTGCTTTAAGGTGAAAGACCTTTGAGAACTTGGATATTTTTTTGGAATTGAAGTCATGAGGTCATACGAAGGTGTTTTATTGAACCAGATTAAATATGCATTATAAATGATTTCTAATGTATGAATGACTCAATGCAGACCAACTACAACACCAATGGAACTAAATCATAATCCAACTACATTAGATTATAGCAATCATGTTGGAAAAATAGATGATGCACAGCTAGAAGAGGTCGAAACTTATCAGAGGATACTGAGGAAGCTACTTTATCTAATCATCACAAGACCTGATATAAGTTTTGCAGTCCAAGGAATAAGTGAGTTTATGTAACATCGCAAGAAGTCTCATATGGATGCAGCTCTAAAGGCTATCAAGTACATCAAAAGGGCACCAAGTTTAGGCATACCGTTGAGGCAGGAGAAACCCAAACACTTACTGGATTCTGTGACTCAAACTGGGCATCATGTCCTAATACAAGAAGGTTTGTAACAGGGTAAGTGATTAAGTTGGGGGATTCCTTCGTGTCTTGGAAATCAAAGAAATGGCAGGCCATCGGTAGAAGCTCAGTGGAAGCAGAATATAGAAGTATGGCAGTTGTAGTAACAGAGATCATCTGGATGGTTGGTCTATTAGAAGAACTTGGGAACAGAGTGCAAACACCAGTGCATTTACATTGTGACAACAAGGAAACAATATAATGCAAATAGTTGTGAATCTTATATCTTATGAAAGGACTAAAAATATAGATATATATTTTCATTTTGTGAGTGAAAACTCAAAAATCGATTGATTACACCTCTGCATGTTCCCACAAAAATGCAGCTAGCTAACTAATGACTAAGGGACTGGGAGCAGTGAAACATCAGTCACTTTTGTCCAAGTTGGAAGTGTTAGATATCTTCCACTCTCCAGTTTGAGGGAAGTATTGATGTTGTTAGAGAATGTAAAAGACTTATTTCTTAGTAATGTATATAGGCTACTTTCTTAGTAATATGCATAGGCATATATAGATAGCAGATTTGTAGGACAGATTTACAGGATTTCTTCTTTATTTCTTTCATTAGTTAGCACCTATTGTATTGTATTTATACATCACTTACCTATTGGAATAAGATACAAGTTATTTTCTCCAATTCCGAATACATGGTATCAGAGCCGGAATTAGCTCACAGTGTTGCCGGAATTTGTACCAAGTTTCTAAGTGACACTCACGTCCAAACTAGGGAGATTCACCTCCCTTTGATCTGTAGAAACCCAGAATACAATGGTCGTATTCCAAGTGCATAAAGATCATGCTCCCATGAGAATTTTCCAGCAAGTCTATCCAGAAGCAAGTGTGGGCGCGCGGCAGATCATTTTCATCTAATCTCTTGGCTCTGACATTACAGAACAATATCCGGCGTAGTTGTGGTGTTTCGTTGATTAATAAACTACGGCTGATCGCGGTAACTTCGTTCCAGTTTTTGATTGCTCTTTGTTTCTCAATTTGTTTGTTGATATCAACGGTTTAGAGTCTATAATATTGTTGAGGCTGCCTAGTTTATAGACCCAGGTTGTTGATTTGTTGATTTGATTGTATTCTAATGAAGTTTTATTTGAGTTAGATTTAAAACTTTGTATGGTCATCCTTTTTCCACGACTGGTATTTATCAGTGTTTGGCGTTCTATTTAGTGAAATTATCTTTGATATTCTCATTCTGTTGTTGTGAGTTCGTTTATTCCTCGATAGGGAACATAACTGAAAATCAAGAAAGAGGATTTAACAATAATAATGATTATGTTCTGGTTTCGGTGGATGAGTTTGCAAAATTTTCTCAATATCAAGAATCACTTAAGGAATCCGCTTCAGTTACCACCCTTGTTGAGTTGGGACAAACTTGTCTTATCTCCTCTTCAAACAAATGGGTGATTGATTATGGTGCCACTAATCGCATGACAGGTAATCGTAATATCCTGTCTAGCTTTCAATGGCACAAAGCACCATCTATTGTAACTGTAGCTGATGGAACAACCTGTAAAGTTATGGGATCTAGAACTGTTAAACTGACCTCATATATTACTCTGTCATCCGTGTTAAGTCTACCAAAGTTGGCTTTTAACTTGATTTCTGTTAGTAAACTTACAAGAGACCTCAATTGTTATATCTCATTATTCTTTCTCGATCATTGTCTCTTTCAAGATCTTACGACAAAGCAAACTATTGGTAAAGGACATCTATCTGATGATCTCTACATCCTTGATGAATATGGACCTCGATTTGTTGCCTACTCCAGTGTCGTGACTCCATTTGAAGCACATTATCGATTGGAACATCCTTCTCTACCTATGTTGAAGAAGTTATGTCCCCAGTTTCATAATGTTTCTTCATTGGATTGTGAGTTATGTAGACTTGCAAGACGCCATCGCAGATCGGTAGGTCTAAGAATTAATAAGCGGGCTAAGTCAGCTTTTGAGTTAGTTCATTCTATTGTTTGGGGAACATGTCCCGTTATTTCCAAAATTTTGCATATGTATTTTTTTACTTTTGTGGATGATTTCTCTCGAATAATTTGGATTTATTTTATGAAGAGACACTCTAAAGTATTTACTCACTTTTGTGCCTTCTGTGTTGAAGTCAAAACTCAATTCAATGCTTTGATGCATGCTCTAAGGAATGATAACACTAAAGAATATATGTCAGAAATATTTTAATCCTACATGAGACAACATGGTATTCTCCATCAATCTGTATGTGTTGATACACCTTCTCAAAATGGAGTTGCCGAGGAGAAGATTAGGCATCTACTTGAGACAACTCGGTCACTTATGTCCCAAATGAAGGTCCCTAAATATTTTTGGGCTGATATGGTCTCTACAACTTGTTTTCTGCTTAATCGTATGCCATTGAATGTGCTTGTTAGTAATGTACCTTATAGTGTTCTTTTTCCAAACAAGTCACTATTTTCGATCGAGGCTAAGGTGTTTGGAAGCAAATGTTATATTCGAGATGTTCGACCATTTGTTTCCAAGTTGGACCCCAAAGCATTAAGTGTGTTTTCCTAGGATATTCTCTCATTTAGAAGGCGTATCAATGTTATTCTACTGACCTTAACAAATATTTGATGTCAAATTATGTGGTATATTTAGAGACAACAACATTCTTCTATGCACCTCCCGTTCCTACAAGTCAGGAAGACGAAGATGAGTGGTTAGTCTATCAAGTTACTCGTGGTTTGACAAAACAATCAGATGATGTTGTTCCTCTATCTCATGATTCTTTTATTGAGCACCAATTGACTATTGTGCCTTCAGTACCTGATCCATCTGTGCTAGAACCTGCTCCATCTGCACTAGCAAGACTACCAATTATTCAAGTTTACTCTAGGAGGCAAGAAACTAGTAGTAATACATATCCTGCATCAGTTTCTTCGTCATCAGATCCTCCTCTAGATGATCTTCCAGAAAACCTTGAACTTCCTATTGCTCTTCGCAAAGGTATACGTACTTGCAAATCCACATATCCCATTGCAAATTATGTTTTCTATGACCATTTATCCGATGTGTCTAGTTCTTTGATTGCTTTTCTAGACTCCATCTTTGTACCCGAAACAGTGAAGGAGGCTTTGAGTCATCCTGGGTGGCGTGATGCAATGCTTGAGGAGATACATGCCTTGGATGAAAATCACACTTGAGATTTGGTGAATTTACCCAAGGGAAAGAAAGTCCTGGGATGCAAATGGGTCTTTGCAGTCAAGGTTAATCTTGACAGTTCTGTGAACAATTCACACGGTCCGCACGCTGGTTCATACAATGCGCCGCCCGCTCTTGTATAGAAAGCAACGTGCGACTTGAAGGACAGGATCCGTTGTGGATTTGTACATCCACCATTTTATGTAGGAATGAAGGTGCTCTTGGCTCGACATCCCCATAAGCGGGACCAAGCATGTTGCCGTCAGAAGCAGAATCCCGTATTTCTTCTAGAGAATCTCCTAATTGTTCCAGAGCAACTAGAAAGAGATTCTTTAACCAGAAAGAATTCGGTTCAGATGTAGGATACCTATTGTAGCCAATATCTTATTACGAGTAATTCCGACAACTTCAGGAGAAAAAGAGGCATTTACCTATTACAGAGATGGTGCGATTTGATTCTTTTTTTTATTTCATATTTATTCATTTCTCTCAGTCTTACGAGGAGAAAAACTCGAATTAGTGAAGATACTGAATTTTTGTATTTGAAAAAGATTTCCGTAGGGATCTCTGAAGTAGATGGCGGTTGATAAAGAACTCTTTGATCATAATTTCCCGTATGAATACTGTGTTGAGCATGAAACTTGTGATTGGTAGTAAAACACCTATTCGCTCGTTGAGACCTAATTCGATCTTCATAGAGTTCTCGAGATAATTTTTATCTCACATCATGAGATAAGTATTTCTTCCATCATGACATAAGTACGCAGTTATTATTGTATCGGCCCAAAACCTCGCTAATTGATCTTTACGGTGCTTCCTCTATCTCTATCAATTAAAGCCTTATATCCATAGAAAAAAGTTGCTAGGCATTTTTATGGGGTAAAAAAGCCAAAATAAGTGATTTTAGCCCTTACCAAATCCAATTCTCTCTCGATACGTTCCTCAAAAAATCCGATTCGGGCGAATTCTTCCCCCAACTAACGAAGAGATCTTGGCGGAATTGCCACATATGAAATTGAGCACAGTTTTGCAAAGAAATAGCCCACTTGTTTCTCGAGAAGAGATGGGAAACATGCTCAATATCATTTGATTGAATAGTTGACCCGGATCTACTGCTGGATAAATACCTTTGGCAGCCAATCCTCTTGATAGTACGGTAGTAGCATCTAAATGTGCAAATGTCGTAGCAGGAGCAGGGTCGGTCAAATCGTCTGTGGGTACACAAACTGCTTGAATAGAGGTTATGGACCCTTCTTTGGTAGAAGTAATTCTTTCTCTTGATTCTTTTCCGATCGAGATGTATAGATCCTGTTCATGGATTAACGAAAATGTGCAAAAGCTCTATTTGCCTCTGCCATTCTATGAGTCTCTTCCTTTTTGCGTATGGCATCGCCACTCCCTTTGGCAGCATCCACTAATTCGGAACTTCATTTGAAAGCCATATTTTGACCCGGACGTTTTCGGGATGCCGCTAATAACCAACGAATGGCAAGTGCTTTTCCTTGTGTGGATCCTATTTCAATGGGAACTTGATGAGTCGATCCACCTACACGTCTTGCTTTTACTTTAAGGCTAGACTTGTGGCTAAAGGATATGCTCAGACATATGGTGTGGATTATTCAGACACGTTCTCTGATGTCCAAACTCACTTTTGTCCGCTTATTTATATACTTAGCTACTTCTCATCATTGGCCACTACATCAATTGGATATTAAAAATGTATTTCTTCATGATGATCTCCAAGAAGAAGTATATGTGGAGCAACCACGTGATTTTGTTGCTTAGGTGGAGTATGGGAAAGTATGCCATTTGAAGAAATCATTGTATGGCTTGAAGTAGATCCCCCGGGCTTGGTTTGGCAAGTTTAGTGAGGCCATTCATGAATTTGGGCTGAAGAAAAGCAAATGTGATCACTTGGCCTTCTATAGGAAACCAACATCCGGCATTATCCTCCATGTTGTATATGTCGATGACATTATCATTACAATAAGTGATTCAGTAGGGATCTCTTCACTGAAGTCTTTCTTGCATATTAGATTTCACATGAAAAACTTGGGCTAGCTAAAATACTTTTTGGGAGTAGAAGTCTCTAGGAGAAAGAAGGGAATTTTTCTATCTCAAAGAAAGTATGTTCTCGACTTACATGCAGAAACTGGAAAGTTGGCAGCTAAGCCTTGCACTACTCCAATGGTTCTCAATGTGCATCTCGTGAGAGATGATGGCGATCTCTTTGATGATCCATAGAAATATAGGAGGTTAGTTGGAAAATTAAACTATCTCACTATGACTCGTCCAGATATTGCTTTTGCATTAAGTATGGTGAGTCAGTTCATGTCCGCACCTACAGTCAAACATTGGGCAGCTCTAGAGCAAATCCTGTGTTACTTAAAAGGAGCATATGGACTTGGAACATTATATAGCAATAATGGACACTCTCGGATTGAGTGTTTTGCAGATGCATATTGGGTTGGATCCAAGATTCACAGAAAATCGACTACTAGTTACTGTGTCTTTGTTGGTGGAAACTTGGTATCATGGAGAAGTAAGAAATAAAATGTTGTATCTCGTTTCAGTGCATAATTCGAGTACAGCGCTATGGTGCAGAACATGTGAGATTATGTAGATACATCATCTTTTAACTGAAATTGGGTTGAAGTATCATACAACCCCCAACACAACCTTGGTGCGACAATTCAAGATGCCCTTCATATCGCCTTAAATCTGGTCTATCATAAAATAACTAAACTATGGAAGTTAACGTCATTTTATTCGTGAGAAAATTCAGGAGAACTTAATTTTCACTGGTTATGTGAAGACAAGAGAACAATTAACTGATTTGTTCATAAAGGCATTGAATGGAGCTCGAGTTGATTATTTTTGTAACAAGCTGGACATAATCAATAACTATGCTCCAACTTGGGGGGGGGGGGGGGGGGTAGAGAATGTATATAGACTTATTTCTTAGTAATGTATATACAATACTTTCTTAGTAATGAGCATAGAGCAGATTTGTATGACAGATTTGTAGGATTCCTTCTTTATTTCTTTCCTTATTTATCACCTATTGTATTGTATTTATACATCACTTACCTATTGAAATAAGATACAAGTTATTCTCTCCAATTTCGATACAGAGTGAAGGAACTAAAGGAAGGCTACAAGGAACTAGAAGGGTGCTGATTGTAAATAAGGAAAGTGAGATCACGCTGATTAGATGCAAGAATAACGAAATTAACTACCAAAGCTTCTGTAATATTCCTTTCTTCTTCTCTCGTTCTCTCTGATTGAATTTATCACTATTTCATTGATTGTAGTTGGTTGCATGTATGAATTCCAGTCGTTGCTAGCTCAATCTAGCTCAATTAACACTTATTCACTGTTATGCTGATTTTGATAACTGCTATGGATAAATAAACAGTTAGTGTAGATTAAACTTCAGTATATGAAGAAATATTGTAGCTAAACGATTAAAGTCCATTCAATTCTCTAAATAATTGCCCCTAATGAGGTGCACCAAACTGCAGCAATACAGAATCACTAATAATTTGCTGGTCAACCATATGGAGAATAACTTATCATTGAAGCTTAGTGTTGCGTGGTTATCTCGACTAAGAGTTTTCAGTTATTTAATTCTCTTTCAAGTGACATGTTTTTCTCATTGAAATGGTCTAGTTATGTACTTCCTAGCAACTAATTAATTATGTCATATATAGTTAAACGTTAGTTGCGATTCTCTCTGAAAAATAATATGTACCAAGTCATTAATTTGTGTCAGGTCTTGTAAAATGATGCAAATGAAATTCCATTTGCTGAACTTTTGTAGTATCACCTATGCCACAATCCTAAAATATGGTGGCTGGTATTAGCACATAATAGTATTTACTATTGCTAACTATATTTTAATGTAGCTTATATTTTGAATTTATCTTGTTTTCAATATTTTACGAGTTTGTTGTTTAGTTCCTTGATTTATGGTTTGTTCCACTATATGAGTAGTACTATCTCAGTAACTTTGTTATAGGGTTGTGTATACATTCAGTTCATGGTCATTCAATAAAATCATCTTTTATTTTATCTTGCTTATTCTTTATATGGTATCAGAGCAGTCTTCTTGACTTTGTAACGGCCCGACCGATCGAGTTGAGTATTTTCATTCAGTTTGGTAATTTAAGATGTTGAAAAGCTTCATACTATGTATTATGACTTGCGTGTATGGTCGGTTTCATTTTTTGAACGATTCGGGGTTGATTTAGAAGAATGATTTTTATTTTAGAAGTTTAAGTTCAAAATGTTGACTGAGATTTGACTTTTATGAAATGACCCCGGAACGGTATTTTGATGACTCCTACAGGTTCGTATTGTGATTTTGGACTTGGGAATATGTCACAACCCTAAACAGGACCCGGTCGTGATGAAGCCTATCGTGAAATAAGGCCAGCCGACACAAACCCCCAAATTAATTAAACAGTTATAATAATTCATTTTAAGTCATTAATAAGCTATAATCCCAAAAATAAAGAGTAGAATAGAACAATGCGAAAACAAACACAGCCCGACATCGGGGTGTCATCAGTCATGAGCATCTAAAATCCGTCTAAGAGTATGAAAAGACAACATAGTCTGATATCCAACTAGTACAAAGGGAAATAAAGATAGGAAGGAGAACCACTGGGCTACGAACGCCGAGCAACTACCTAGTCAACTCCGAACAACCTGCTGGAAAGCAAATCAGCAATCGCTAGCGTGACCTGAGACTCCTGAATCTGCACACAGGGTGCAGGGAGTAATGTGAGTATGCCAACTCAGTAAGTAATAAAAGTAAAGGCAGCTGAGCGATAAGAAAACACGTAAAACACAGCAAAATGCTACAACAAAACAGTATGAAACTAGTACAATGCTGTAAAACAGTAAAAGCTCGTTAAACACCTTAGTTCAGTGAAAACCTCTTTAAAACATCTTTTAAATAGTTCAAACGAGTGATGAAGATAGGGAGATAAGGAAT